CAATGTCCCTCCGATCAACTATTGTGGCCTCATGCCCCTCCAAATTGGCAGCCTCCTCTGAGGGTCTGGACCCTGTCTCCTCCTTCCCCACGCTTGACTCCATCCACATCATGAAGGCTGTGAGGTACAGTGAAGCCTCCTGCATGGGAAATGTCCTTTCCCTGACGGCTGATTCCCCAGGCTCACCCCACTGCCCACTCAACTCACGTCAACCGGCAACCCAGCCAGGACCTGGCGGCACAAGAGGCCTGGTGACCTGGGGGTGCTCAGGGAGGAGGAGAAAGGCCACAGCTCCAAGAGGGGAGGAGCCCAAAACTGCCAGAGCATCTGCTGAGAGCTCTCCGGGAGGGAGGCAGGGAGACACGTGTGGGAGTAGCTGTGTGAGAGTGGAAATTTACTGGGAGAGGAGAGAAGCCCTGCCATCACACCAAGCCCTTCCCCACCGCTCCCCTCAAAATGCCATTTTGTCAACCCCTCCAGTCATTCACGCGTCAGTGGTAGGAGACTGTGCTTGCCATCAAGAACACTGCCCGCTAAAACCACCTGGGGGGTGGAGGCTGAGTCTGGGGTGTTGGAGGAAGAGGTGTCAGGCCCCTGTGCGTGTCTGAGGTTCTTCCACACCACCCCGTCAGTGGGCAGCCTCTCCGGAGAGGCCGGGTCAGTAAAAAGACCTCCACCCGCCTGAGCAGGGTCGCACCATCCTGTTGCACAGAACACCAGCGACCTTGAGCAAGCTAAACAGAGTCTGCTAGTCATCATCCATTTACCCCGCCTGTGCTTTCTCACTCTGTTCTCAAAGCGTTCTTTTTGCATCTATCACATAGTGCTAGGCCTTCCTCCTTGCCAGATTCGGACTTTCACGGATTTATACATTCCAGAAACTTCCACACAGTTTGGAAGTGATCTGGGGAGAAGGGAGGCAGCAGTCGCGCCCTGTACACTGCCCCCGCCCGCGCTGTCTGCTGTTTGTTTGAGTTGGGAGGAAGCCAATCAGATGCGCGGGATCAGGCCGTCCTGTCCGGGGAGACAGGGGACTATTTGTCTTCTCCGGAGACAGACAGGCCTGGGAGGAGGAGGAAGTGCTGAGGCGCAGGGATGGAGTAGACAGGGGAAAGAACCAGCTCCCTAAGGTATAGAGTTGGTGGGCTCCCTGTTATTAGGGAGGGCCCAAGGGAAACCCGAGCTCGCCCGACCTGCTGGGGCAGAGAGGCGGAGGAGGGATTAGCAGACAAAGCAGCGGGTTCTAGGCGGGACTCAGCCGCTGCGCTGTGTGATGGGGCAAGCTACTTCTTCCCATCTCCTGCTCAGCAGCTAAAGGAGGAAGCTGTGTCCTGAGGGCCCCTCCAGTGTTTAAAGTGTGTGGGTCTCATGGTGCGAAGCATGTGAGGTGCAGCAGAGAGAACAGAGGCTAAGAAGTGCTCTGACTTAAATGGCTATTTATGTGTGTGGGGGGGGCGGGGGTCCCCACTCTGCACAGAAAGCAAATAGAAGAATTGAGCTTATTCTAGATGGTTGGGCATGTTCTATATATTTTTAAAAGTTATTGGGAACCAGCAGTTAGCGTAATGGCTATGTCGCTGGACTCCCATGTAGTCAACCGCGGTTCACGTCCCGGACCTGGTGGCTTAGAACTCTCGCCGCGCGTGTGCGCGTGCGTGCCCAAGACCCCGGGAGGAGAATGGAGGAGAAGGGATTGCGGCGTGACCATCCCCCTGGGGGGTGATTTCTCGCTTTCTATCTCTATGTCTCTCTCTGTCTGGCTGGCGAGTGCACATGCCCTATAGCGAAAACCTCTCCAAAAAAATAAAAGTTATTTATTTATTTTTTCCATGAGAAAGAAGGAGACAGAAAATGGTAAAGACAAAGGGAGAGAGAGAGAAGGAGAGAAGAGAGACAGACAGACAGACACTCCCGACAGGGCCTTCACTCCACAGTCTACAACTGTCTCCGGGTGTCAGCCAGCCCGGATCACAGGCAGAGGCAGCCTGGCATCCACAGGGAGCTTCCTGGACCCTGAGCCCAGGGTGTTCCCACACGGGTCGCGCTCTGTTCTGGCTGCATCACCACTGGCCCTGAAATGGTCCGTATCTCCATGGGGCGCGGTGGGGAGCGGAGGGAGTGGTTGGTTACAAGATCCCTACCTGGGTAAGACAATCACTGAACTGGGCCAGCAGGTGGCCTGGCAGCTAAGGGTGCTGGGCTCCCACATGGCCAACTGTGGTTCGAGTCCCGGACCTGGCAGCTTGCTTTCTCACTTTCCCTCCCTCCATCCCTCTCTGGCCAAATAGAAATAAATAAATAATAAATGAAAGTTTAAAAATAAAACAAGTATTTAAAAATAAATAAATAACTGAGCTGCCTGAGGCCGGCTAGTGACCTGGTGTTCGAGGCACTGAATCTCAAGTGGACAACTGTATAGTCTGAGTCTCAGACATAGTGGCTCGAAAAACATGCCTGCTCATGTGTGTGTGCATGTGTGTGTGTGTGTGTGTGTGCATGTGACCAAAACCACAGGCAGAGAGACAACTGTATAGTCTGAGTCTCAGACATAGTGGCTCGAAAAACATGCCTGCTCATGTGTGTGTGCATGTGTGTGTGTGTGTGTGTGTGTGTGCGCATGTGACCAAAACCCCAGGAAGAGACTGACTGGAGAGGGGACTGTGGTATGGCCATGCCCCCGGAAGTGATTTCTCACTTCCCCTCCCTCTGTCTTTCTCCAGTGAGCACACACACCCTGTATCAAATTTTTAAAAAACCATGAGCAGTTGGGACCAGCAGTTAGCATAATGGCTATGTCGCTGGACTCCCATGTAGTCGACCGTGGTTCGAGTCCCGGACCCGGTGGCTTAAACTCTCCTGAGAGGAGAATGGAGGAGAAGGGATTGCGGCGTGACCATCCCCCTTGGGGGGTGATTTCTCGCTTTCTGTCTCTCTGTCTCTTTCGGGCGAGCACATGTGCCCTATAGCAAAACCTCTCAAAAAACAAAATCTCTCAAAAAACAAAACAAACAAACAAACAAACAAAAACCCATGAGCAGTACATTTAAGATCTGTGCACTTATATGTAAATTATACCTTAATAGAAAAGTGGGGATTTTTTAAGGTTTTTTTTTCCCCCCCATAGGGTGCTTGCACTTGCCAGAGAGAGAGAAACAGTGAGTGAGAAAGTGATTTGATGACCACACTGTAATCTCTTCTCCTCTGTTCTCTAGGGATTTTGGATACGTGTGCACACTTGCCTGGTGTGATTTTCAGGTTGCCAAATCTGGGATTTAAACCACGGTTGACCATGTGGGAGTCCAATGCCTTAACCACCATGCAACCTGCTGGCCCTAGAAAGGTGTTTTCTTTTGAGAGAGATATTTTTTGCTATAGGGCACATGTGCTCACTGGAGAGACAGAGAGAAAGTGAGAAATCACCCCCCACCACCACCACGAAGGATGGCCATGCTGCAATCCCTTCTCTCCCATTTTCATCTCTGGATTTTAGGCATGCACGTACACGTGCCTGGCATGAGTTTCAAGCTGCTGCATCCAGGACTCAAACAGTGGTCAACTCTGTGGGAATCCAGCAACATAACCACTATGCCATCTGCTGGTCCCTAGAAAGGTATTTTTAATGGACTTAAATTCCAATAGGAGTTTGAATAAATTCCTAACAAAGGAGACTTAGAGAAAGTGGATTTCCATCCAGGGAGATTAAAATTCCCCTTCTCCTGAGAACTTTAAGAAATTACCCATCCAGGCACCAGCAGTTGGCGTAATGGCTGCATTGCTGGACTCCCACATAGTTGACTGCAGTTCGAGTCCCAAATCAGGCAGCTTAAACTCACGCTGGGTGCATGTGCGTGCGTGCCCAAGATCCCGAGAGGAGAATGGAGGAGAAGGAATTGCAGCGTAGTCAACCCTCCTGGGGGGGTGATTTCTTGCTTTCTGTCTCTCTGTTGCTCTCTTTCTGGTTAGCCCACAAGCCCTATAACAAAAACTCCTCTTTAAAAAAAGGGGAGGGACCAGAAGTTGATGTAATGGCTATATTGGTGGATTCCCATGTAGTCGACCTCAGTTTGAGTCCCAGACCGGGTGGCTTGAAACTCATGCTCGGGGCATATGCGTGTGTGCCCAAGACCCTGAGAAGAGAATGGAGGAGAAGGGATTGCAGTGTGGCCATCCGCCCTGGGGGGTGATTTCGGGCTTTCTGTCTCTCTCTGTCTTTCTAGTGAGCACACGTGCCCTATAGCAAAAACCTACCCCCCCCAAAAAAAAG